CAAATATTACTATTCTAATGCTGGGGTTGTTCTTCTGTATTCTACTCCCGGTGAAACACCCACCCGTTAATATCAATTCAAGCCAATGCTTTAGAGACTTGTTAACTTTTGCAGCTAGAGCTTTTTTACGGGACGCGGTAGCCAACCCCTAGTTCAACCCTACGACTAGCTTTTCTTACGACATGCTTGACAGGGTGCAGTGTTTCTGTGCTATCTCTAAGGGTCGTGGTTAGGCGATGAGCGGGCCTATACTGCTATCAGTGACTATCACAGTATACCTGCATCAGAAAACGATAAGGTCTATCTAACGTACATTATAAAGGCCGGGAAAATCATAGCTTACGTCTTGAAATGACTCGGAACATAGACAAATTGAGCAGATACAAGTGAAATAAGTGCAGTTTTCCTTATCAATTTCCAACCGATACAACATAAATGATGAGAAACCCGCGTACCCCTTCTTCAATCTCGCCTGTCAGTCACAAGCCGCTACATTTTCGGCTGCTAGCAATCAATGAGAAAAGGTAAGATTTCAGAAAACGTAACTATGCTGTATGCTAATGTAAAACTAAATACATCGTGTAATCATTACCTTGTAAAATATTCCAGAAAACCGGCCGGAGAAGACGGGAGACGGTGGCATCGAGAGAAAAGCCAATAAAGTATGCGATCTCATCAGAAAGCCGTTCTCTTCTGCCTGTTGTTTTGGTGTTACAAATCCAACATGGCCGACAAATGGGGGAACCCCTCGGCTGGCTATTTATAGACACTAGCTGGGCGGGCTTCGGGGCACTTTTGTGTTGATCATTGAGTCTGCACTGCCCTTTGAATGTAACGGGTTCGGTTCTTGTGTGCCTATACTTAACATTATGCGTTTTGTCTATTGATTTCTAGGTTATCCTAACTTCCACTTGTCGTTCTGTGCTATTTATAGACACTAGTTTATGGGCTTCGAAGCCCACTGTCTTGATCAGTGTCCGTTGAGTCTACATTGCCATTTGAAAGTCAGTGGTTCAGGTCTTGTGTACTTGTACTTAAGCTTGTACTTATCTGTATTTGGGTTCTTTAATTAGTGTTTCCCCTGTTTGGGGTAGGATATTAATAAAGCACCTGTATTCGTTTTGTCTACTGATGTTCACTTGTCGAGTTGTGCTATTGCATCATCATCATCATCATCACTATTTATGTCACATAGGGCTCGCAGTCTAGTACTCTATTTTGTTCTATTCTGTGCAGTTCTTTTGATATCATGGATGGAAACCAGTCCAGCACCTTTACTCTCTCCCAGTAACGTTTATTTTAAGATTTTCCTAGGACGTCTCAGCAAGACGCACTTCACAGATGTTGCACGAGGTTTTAGCCAGTGACCCAGATGAGTATCAATTATTTTGTACGTAATAGTCCTATGTAGTCACTTCATAGTTAGTGCATGTTTGTGTATGTGTGTTGTGTTGTTCTTTGTGTGCTAATGAAGACTAATCGCCGCAACGTCCTTTGTTTGTTCATTGTAATTGATTTTGTAAAGCCGACACAAAACTATTTGGTTTTTCTTACCCCTTTTCTTCTCCTCCCTATAACTTCCTACCCTTTTAAAACCCCGTAGGCGTAGGAGCCGTGCTATTTATAGACTAGTCATTCAGGTAAGCTATCCATAAAAGATATAAAACCGAACGAAAAGTATATCAGAAAAGTATATCAGAAAAGTATATTCAGTTATCTAGATTCTTTTTTCTTCTAACCAGTAAAACATACATTGAAAGTGGCGGCTTTATAAATATTTCTACTATAATAATTTCAATTATTCTAATGTCTGTTGTATCCTTTTAATGGCTACTTTTTCTGACGTCCGAGAGCATTTTATGAAGCAGTAGTTTTTCATTGGGGGGGGGGGGGCATCACCAAGAGGGCGCAGTGAAGTAAACGTGGGGGGGGGGGGATCTGGTTATAGTATCTCCTGTATTTACCTCGAAGACGGCATAGACGTGCTTCACCAAACTCGTTGCTACCCATTAGAAAATCGTTTCAGTGAAGTAAACGTGGGGGGGAGGGGGGAGGGGGGCATCTGGTTATAGTATCTCCTGTATTTACCTCGAAGACGGCATAGACGTGCTTCACCAAACTCGTTGCTACCCATTAGAAAATCGTTTCAGTGAAGTAAACGTGGGGGGGAGGGGGGATCTGGTTATAGTATCTCCTGTATTTACCTCGAAGACGGCATAGACGTGCTTCAGCAAACTCAACGCTACCCATTAGAAAATCGTGTCATTCATAGTTTTGGCGTTCTTAGTCCTGGTGGGATTAACATTAAACACAGCTTAATTTATTTACTCGTTTATTTATTTCACTTATTTATATTTCTTACCCTCTTTTTGTATACGTCTTTTTACCTATTCCGTTTTGAATAATATAGCACTTCATACCCCCCCCCCTTTTTTTTTTTCTTTTCCCCGTTAGTATTAGCTGTTTCTTGTCCGTTGAGTTTTTCATGCATAGTTTGTGCTGTATTTAGTATTCCGTAAACAAAGACTTTAATCGAAACGTTCAGTGATGTTTGTGTGCGTCTTTTCCCTTCCCTCCGTTGAGCTTTCTAGTCATATTTTGTTATATCTAGCATTTCTTTCAACTTAAAAAAAAAAGGGTTGAAAACCACTAATCTCCGGTCAGACACAAGGATGAGTGTTATTTATAGACGAGAATTAGCAGACGCCAAGTTCGGGGGGAATCCCGGGCCAGCCTCGTTCTGGCAGCACTGAGCAGACGTGAGTGAGAGTGGTCGCTGACGGGCAAAAAGAGGGATTTGAACATCGTGTAATCTACAGGAGAACATTGTCGTTGTCGGGCAGGGCACTTCCATAGATCTACAGGAGAATCTAGAACCAGAGGAGGTATTTTTTTTAGGGCAAGTGGTCGTTTTTGTTTTGTTTTTTCTTGTCGGGTAGGGAGAGAGAGTGTTGAACAACGTGTGATCTATAGAAGAACCTGGTCGTTGTCGGGCAGAACAAGAGAACTAGAGGGATTTTTTTTTTCGATGACGTTTGTCGTTTTTGTCGGGTAAGGCGATCGCCTAACATCTGTAAGAGAACATGAAACCAGATGTATTTGGTTTTAGGAAAGTGGTCATTGTCGAATATGCCAGGAAATCATTGATATTTCTACAAGAAAATAGTAAATATTAAAGTTGAACTTTTCATCTGAATTTACATTTGACGAACACAAAGAAGAAGAAGAGTTTGGCACATAAAGTGTTATCAAATATATCTAAGGATGAACAGTATCGCCTTCGCCAGCCGGCACTTATCTAAGACATTCGTAGGAACAGGCATGTGTAAAGGAGGGGGGGGGAAGTAATGCGCCATTAAACGGGAAAAAGCATGGACAGAACTGATATCATCAACTAGGTTGGTGTTGCCGGGTTCGATCCCAGCTGCGGACCTTGTGCCTTGCGTTGGTTTCGACAATGGTATCGAAAAGCCGACCGTCCAGTGGCAATGGCAAACTACTGGACGTAAACTTGCCTAGAAAAACCACAACAGCTAAAAAATGCTGGGGTTGCTTTTGCAACGTTCTGTAAAGGATACGCACTAACTTTGTGTGTGTGTGTGTGTGGGGGGGGGGGGGGTTGGAGGAGTACGCACTGAGTACACCTGACCTTGCAACGGGACCTCTTATCCCGCCCCTCGTGGATTGTGTTGGGAGGTAGACTGTCAGGGCGGGGGATTTTGTTCAGACGGGGACTATGATGAAACGGCTGGCCAGCGGCATTGCAAGGTCATGTAGTACCCGGTACGGAAATATTGTTGTTCCCCCTCCCTCCCCCTCCCCCCGGTTTTGTTTTTTTTACACTTAGATATATTCACAAACATTTTGTATGTTCAAAACACACATTTTAACAACTGTATCACTCCCATCCCGCACACTTCTCCTACGCCCTTGTGGTCGGCATATGTGTCGCTGAAGCGTTGAACTATCGAGCAGCTAACTTCTAGACGACGCATCGATCAATCAACAACGGTAATTCATAAATCTGGAGCAGTTTTTTATTTTATTTTTTACTTACTGACAACTGACGTAGACTCGTCACTTAGTAATGGCACGAATCATGTACCAGTACAAGAATAAACATTGATTGATAGATGAGAGAGTCGTTGCATCCTTTTTGTTGTGTTTACTGAGGTATGGCTGGTAAAACTAACTTTAGTCTTCCTGAGGACCGCCCATATACACACTAGCTCACTTCTGATTGTGAGTTCCTCATCCCTGTGTCCTTCGCACAAGGTTACGGGGGTGTTCCGCAATGTTGTATATTTCAGCACGCCAGCGCTTTTAAAACTTAAAAAACATGGAGTAACTGGGTCTAAAACAACCCCTATAGAGAGTGCTGCAACCTACGCCACAGGCATTCCCTTTCTCGAAATGAAAACGTAAATGCAAGACATCGCAAAAAAAACAAACAACACAGTGAGACACACCCGTAACCATCAGAAAAGTCGACCAGCTTAACAAATTTGTGAATGAAAAGTGACTACTCTATTTGGGGAGACTAACGTGAAACTAGACTGACTTGCAAGCTTCTAAATCTGTGCTACCGCGGTCCCAGTAGCTCTTTAAAATAAAACAGAGAAGGGCCGTTTTTTTTTTACACCCTCCTGTGTATTAGGCACATAGGGCTAAACCCACGTTTCATAGATCAATCGGCTTTTGGTGGGTGATGTGGTCAGCATCACACCGGCCGTCTTTACTTCCCAAGACTTTTACCTGGTACTCATTTAAGCCTAGGTCGACCTGGAAGACAAGGTCTTTTTTTTTTTTTCAAAAGTCCATCACCGTCTTGATTTGAACCCAGGACCTTGGAATCCACAGGCGAGCGTCCAAACACTTTACAACGATGGCTCCCCAGTGGCTCTTTACCAAAACCAATGGACTGTGATAATTTATGTAGGTAGTTCATTTATTCCTGAACGTGTCAGTTATAAATCAGAGGTGTGCTTGCATTCCCACAGATGCTTGAGTGCCCATACAGTAGTGGCTGCGACGATGGGCTTGCACGAAGCCTGGTAAGTACCTATGTAGAATTTCTCCAAACTTGAGGCTTTCAGTGGGATTTAATCTCCCGTCTGTCGATCCGTCCATCATCCATCCATCCATTCACTTTTCCATCGGTTTCTACGAATATCAGTTCACCCCCCCCCCCTTTTTTTTCCCTCTATTATTGCTATACCGATCTATCAGTATCTGCTTTGCTTCGCTGTCTATCAGTCTGTTTTTCCCACTCAGCCACTAATCTGTCTTGTTTAATTATCCAACCATCTATCTATCCATCGGTCCAGCCATTTTCCCAACCGTCCATTCATATCTCCTTCTTTTTATCTGTCTTTTTTCATTATCTGATAGCCTCTTTGTCTGCTATGTTATGTCATTTTGTCGTAATCGACGTCACTGCACATTAACTCTTTGAGTCCCAAGGAACGCATCATACGTTCATTAGTTTCTACTTAGAGGCCCAATGAACGCAAGATGCGCCGATTTTACGTCTCTCATGACCACCCCTTGGGCCTGTGGTGCTAAACCCCCTGGGACTCAAAGACTTAAGCATCCCCAGCGTGATCAGCTCTTCGATGCAGCAGCCACCCCAAGGTACCTCTACTAATTGTTGCCACGAGTAGTTGGTTTTAATGTCTCCTATCACGATCTTTAAGGTGGCATAGGCTTACGTCACTATACTTTACTCCCGGTCACGCCATCGTATTAGCATCAAGATTCGTCATTATCCACTAGTATAACCCGTACGGCGTTGATATCTGCTCTGTCCATGTTTCTTTACGTATGTGTTCGTGCATTGTTTGCCAGGTAGTCCGCTCGTTTTTATGCCGGCATTGCCAGGCGTGTAGATCCGGATGAGGGAGGTTAAGTGCGATTTGTAAATGCTTTCTATCCCTTCAGATCTTATACCACCTGTTGCGGTTTTTTAAAGCACCTCCGTGCAAATTCAAACCCACGACATTCGGATCTGCAGTCAAGCGTCTAACCGCTACACCACGGCGGCTTCCAGACATTGAGAAATGTCAACAGAATAATAGAAGAATTCCGCGGACCAAAAATAAGTGAAGAGACAGAAAAACCCACACAATGTAATAAAGCTCATGATGATGATGAACATTTGGTGTCACCAACTGGCATGAGAATGCCAACTAGAGAGATGAATGGAGGCGGGTGATATCTGCAGCAATGAACCTCAGGGGCTCGGAATGCTGATGATGAAGAAAAAGGCTTGATGTTGACAGTAATGATGTTTGCATTTCAATTTTTAGGGGACGCTAGCAAACCTGCTGTGTGAAGTAAAATGTAACGTGAATGACATACAACATGAGTGGACTGACCTGCAGAAGGTCATGTCTGGCATCCCTGTACCCCAGGTATGCGTGTCTGTGACCAAGACAGATGTACTGTGATTCTTCTTCTTCTTCTTCTTCTTCTTCTTCTTCTTCTTCTTCTTCTTCTTCTTCTTCTTCTTCTTCTTCTTCTTCTTCTTCTTCTTCTTCTTCTTCTTCTCTGGTACTATTCTGTCTTTAAGTGTCAATTTTTGAATGGGCAACGAATGCGAGCCTCGGTATGTACTGCGCATATGCCTCGGATATTTCATCTATTCGTCGCTTGCCTGGTCGATCTCTGGGTCTGTTTCTATTATGTCTAAATGACAGAACTCTCTAATGTGCAATATCAGGTGTTAGTCTTGACACATGACCAAACCATTTAATGTCTGTGTGATAGAGCTCTCTGTTGTGCACTATCAGGTGTTAGTCTTGACATATGACCTTCTTCTTCTTCTTCTTCGATCCTTCTGTCAGAAAACCTATATCAGGAGGCCGGTAGCCTTTATGAAAGCTATCGTGCAATCCATATCCTCTCGTGTACCATACAGTTTTGTCTTCAGTGTGGTTGGAACAGGCCAGATTGCGTCTCTGTTGTCAGCATACAGTTGACAGTGTTGGAGCACATGCTCAGCATTTTCGGGTGCCACGCTGCAGGGACACGTCTCCGTATTTCCTACACCAAAAAATTTGAACATATGTTGACGAAATCTGTTGTGCCCTGTCCTTAGTCTGAATATAATACACGACATATGACCAAACCATTTCATATCTGTGTGACAGAGCTCTTTACTGTAAACTATCAGGTGTTAGTCTTGGCACGTGTTCAAACTTGTAATCTTTTGTTTCTAGATACAGTTTGATATTGGTGCGTCCCATCTTCATATCCGATATCGTCATTTCTGATCCTGTGCTGTCTGGTTACATTTAGGATTCGTCATAGATGTTTCAAATCGCCCCACCCCCAAATATTATGGAGTGGATGGGTATTTGAGTGGGAGCTTATTGGTTCTTCTAACCGTATATAGATGTTCTCTTTTTAATTATTTGTCTATACATTTCCTAATATTTCTCATGTTATAATATTTTTTGCTATTTAGAAAATAATAGAAATTAATATTATTAATTTCACACTTAAACAAAGTTTCATACCTTTAATCCTGACCCAGAAAACGATACAGTAACTGAGCCTAGATTCCCCCCCCCCCCCAACTTAGTTTTCTTTGTGTTGGCGCCCTTGGTTGACGGTTGGCTTGTCACATATATTATATCCAGCAGGCTCAGTCTTTTCCGGGAACTCTCTACAAAATCTCAGGGTCCCCCGAACAGAGAGAAAAGTACCCTTGTTGTCAACATAAAGAGTGTGTGTATGTACGTGCATGCGTGCTTGCCCGCACCGGGCACCACCTGACCTTGCAATGCTACTGACTATGGAATGACATTTTTTCACTGCACACTTTTATGGTAATGTTTAATGTTTAATAATATTTTTACGTCAACAAGTGATGTTCTTCAATAATATTTCCCTCTGCCTGGATTTTTATCATGGTATGGGGTGTCGCAGGCAGACCCAGCCTAAAGTGGGTACCAGGATGTATGTCCTGGGAAAGTAAAGACGGTTGACGTAATGCTAACCACACTACCCACCTAGTACCGATTGGTCTGTGAAAAAATATATGCTCTTTCCATATGTCTGATGCGCTTGAAGGCGTGAAAAGGGATCTTTACTTTACTTGACTTTAATATTTCTATGATGTGTAAACTGGAGGGGGGGGGGGGGACAATTTCGCTACTGTCTCTTTGACCATTTTTTTAGGTCAGAGTAGACAGAGGGGGGGGGGGATGCTCTAGTCTGCGGATTTAGGGCCGCCTGGCTAGTGCTGTCGCCACGGACTGTACATGTTTGGAAGTTTAATTATGCCTCTGGCAAAAAAACTCCATCACCTTACCGGAGATCGAACCCGAGTCTCCCGCATGAGAGTCTGACATTGTAGCCGCTCCTTGCTGTCGTATAAAGGGGTGTAATCTGCTGCTCACTTGTAGATTGCCTGTTCCAGAACCTGATGAACTCAGACGATGTGATAGTTTCCCAGACTTCCCTGCATAAAATGTCCATGGAGCTAGGACAGCTAAAACTTCTACTGCCGAAGCTTCTCAGCCAAACTCTGCTGGCCTCCACAAAAAAGCTGACACTGCTGGAGGAAGGTGGTTATTATTTATTTGTCTAAAACACACACACATACCCTCCCCTCTTTTTTCCTCTGTGTGACAACCTCAAGAATTAATTACCACTGCTACGCAAAGGAGAGTAAGAAGCCATAACGAAATTCATAATCTGTTTAAATCACCACTGATCACTGGCATTATTAGAGCTAATAGACTGAAATGTTTGGGGTATATTGAAAGAATGTCAGATGATAGAGAAGTAAAAACTGTATACATAAGGGAGATGAATGGTCGTAGACCACGAGGCAGACCAAGAAGAGGATGGAGAGATAATATCCAGACAGACCTGCAAACACTTGGTGTCACCAACCGGAAAGGAAAGGCCAACCAGAGAGATGAATGGAGCCGGGTGATATCTGCAGCAATTAACCTCAAGGTCTAGGAATGCCGAGGAAGAAGAAGAAGCTACATAGGGTCACATCCTGGATGGCAGATTACAAGACCAAATCCTGGGTACCTTTTCAGTTTCTTTAAAATTAGGACATCTACTATCGTATAATCTGCAGTCTGTGCATGTTTAGGGTAACTTAGCTAGTTACTAGATAGTTAATAAGATAGCTAGCTAGTTAGTTAGTCAACAGATTATTCTCCTTGCACATCGAACCATTCAGTCCATAAGTACTCAGATCCCCTCATTAGTAAATCTGCAACGTGTAACGGCTGACGACACCGGTTCTGTGTTGGTTTCTTATTCTTCTTTGGCTTCCCGCATAGTGCTCTTGTCTGGCCACACGACTTTTAATATGTTGTTCTTGCAGTCTGATCATGGCTGCAGATTCACAGTCATCACTCGGTTCTCGCAAACGGCTTACTTTTCGTAGAGCATTCAGAATATCTGCTTGGCCCATGGCTAGTCCGGCCTCTATAGAAGCTTTATCTGCAAGCCTATCAGCTTGCTCGTTTCCTTGCACACCTGCTTGCCCTAGCCCAAATATGAAACTGATTTTTCAGCACCGACAGCTTTAGAGACTAACCATTGTCTTCGGACCCTGCCCATCACTATCTTTCTGAGCATACTGAGTAACTGAGAAAAGGATTGTGTCTCCAGTCATGTTATTGCTTTGTAAATATATTAGGCCATAGATAATAAGCTAGGGATTGCAGCTGGTAGTCATATTCTTCCTCTACTTTTTTTTTCTTCATCATTATCATCCCGTAACACTACGTGTCGTTGGGTCACCAGTTTCCACCTTTGGCGTTCAGCTGCGATGGACGTCATGGTTGCATGCCTGAGGCCTGTCCAGTCAGTCAGGTTTTGTAACCAGGTCTTTCTTGGTCTGCCTCTTCTCCTGTTTCCCTCTACTGAGCCCTGCAGTACTGTTTTTGAGAGGCCGTTAGATCTTATTACATGTCCATGCCCGGCTCACTGGCGTAGTTGGCTAAACCTGACTTCGCGACGACCGGGTGACGAACTCCTTGTGGTCCGGGTTCACGCCCGGGAGTTGGCGGAAAAGCCACATTTCTCCCAGATTTACGGTATTTATCATGTAATCAAGGCCGACGGGTTGCGATATCCATAATACCGAGCCAAAGGGTTAACTCATGGTTTCTGAATATTAAAAAAAAAAATTAATTATGTGTCGATACTATTGCATTTTTTTTTGGGGGGGGGGGGGGGGGGGGGTGGGTAGAGAACTTTATTTTATCCGGCTTTTATTCGTTGCTGTTTGTCCATCTCTTGATGTTGTATTGATACAAGTGGGGGGGGGGGGGGGGGGAAGAGAACAAGAGATGGACGAACATCAGTCTGGGAGAGTGTATAACCAAGACAAGAGACAGAGCGTATCAGAGAACCATTACATCAAACCTTCATTGTGGAGACGATAACTGATTAATTAATAATACCTTTCTGATTTCCCTTATATTCATTTATTCCCCCCTGTGATTCTCAGGGTCCCATTTTAAGGGAAAAAAGAATAGACCCACTCCTCTCAAACAAGCATTGTCGCAAAAGGCGACCAATTTATCTGTTTCCTTCAAAGTTAGAGTGCCTTTGAGTGAGGAACTAATAGTCTGCATACAAATAAGCTTTATCTGTAAAACAGATGTGCACACAGAACTCAAGTTCTGGAACCGGAGAAAGATCCAGAAGTGGACGAACAACCGAATATTTCCACCCGAGTTTATAGATCGTGAACGCTTTTAAACAAATTCATAACGAAACTTAACAAATGTCTGAGCAGTTGATGGTAACAGATGGCGATACTTCTTCTTCTTCTTCGCGTTCACCAGCTGTACACTCTGGCGTAAAGTTCTGGTTGTTCGTCCACTTCTGTACTGGAGTCCTGCTCCAGAACCTGAGTGTTGCGTGTGCATCAGTTTTACAGATCTGATTCAATTGAATGTAGACTGCTGGTTCCTTGCCTCTCAGGCAGATGCACTCCGACTTCAAAGGAAGCTCCCCAGTTAGTCGACTCTTACGACATGCTTTTGGAGAGGCAGTGGGTCTATTCTTGTTTTCCCCACAATAGGGCCCCGGAACTGGGCATTTAGGGAGAAGAATTAGACAATCACCAAACAGTGAAGTGGGAAATGACGTTTTTGAGAAAATGGAGATGTATAAAGAGACATACCTTCTAGTGTATGTTGATGAGAGAGGTTAAAAGATGCGGACCTTTTGGTATATGTTGATGAGAGAGGTTAAAAGGTGCTGACCTTTTGGTGTTTGTTGATGAGAGAGGTTAAAGGTGCTGACCTTCTGGTGTATGTTGATGAGAGACACCAAAGGTGAGATACTGCTGGTGTATGTTGATGAGAGAGGTTAAAGGAGAGATACCTTCTGGAGTATGTTGATGAGAGGGGCTAAAGGAGAGATACCTTCTGGAGTATGTTGATGAGAGAGGTTAAAGGAGAGATACCTTCTGGAGTATGTTGATGAGAGACACCAAAGGTGAGAAACCTTCTGTTGTATGTTGATGAGAGACACCAAAGGTGAGATACTGCTGGTGTATGTTGATGAGAGAGGTTAAAGGAGAGATACCTTCTGGAGTATGTTGATGAGAGACACTCAAGGTGAGATACATTCTGGTGTATGTTGATGAGAGAGGTTAAAGGAGAGATACCTTCTGGAATATGTTGATGAGAGACACCAAAGGTGAGAAACCTTCTGTTGTATGTTGATGAGAGACACTAAAGGTGGGATACCCTATGGTGTATATTGATGAGAGAGGTTAAAGGAGAGTTACCTTCTGGAGTATGTTGATGAGAGACACCAAAGGTGAGATACATTCTGGTGTATGTTGATGAGAGACACTAAAGGTGAGATACCCTATGGTGTATATTGATGAGAGAGGTTAAAGGAGAGTTACCTTCTGGAGTATGTTGATGAGAGACACCAAAGGTGAGATACATTCTGGTGTATGTTGATGAGAGACACTAAAGGTGAGATACTTCTGGTTTATGTTGATGAGAGACACCAAAGGTGAGATACATTCTGGTGTATGTTGATGAGAGACACCAAAGGTGAGATACATTCTGGTGTATGTTGATGAGAGACACTAAAGGAGAGATACTTCTGGTTTATGTTGATGAGAGACACCAAAGGTGAGATACATTCTGGTGTATGTTGATGAGAGACACTAAAGGTGAGATACTGCTGGTGTATGTTGATGAGAGACACTAAAGGAGAGATACTTCTGGTGTATGTTGATGAGAGAGGTTAAAGGAGAGATACTTCTGGTTTATGTTGATGAGAGACACTAAAGGTGAGATACTTCTGGTGTATGTTGATGAGAGACACTAAAGGTGAGATACTGCTGGTGTATGTTGATGAGAGACACTAAAGGTGAGATACTTCTGGTTTATGTTGATGAGAGACACTAAAGGTGAGATACTTCTGGAGTATGTTGATGAGAGACACCAAAGGTGAGATACTTCTGGTTTATGTTGATGAGAGACACTAAAGGTGAGATACTTCTGGAGTATGTTGATGAGAGACACCAAAGGTGAGATACTTCTGGAGTATGTTGATGAGAGACACTAAAGGTGAGATACTTCTGGAGTATGTTGATGAGAGACACCAAAGGTGAGATACATTCTGGTGTATGTTGATGAGAGACACTAAAGGTGAGATACTTCTGGAGTATGTTGATGAGAGACACCAAAGGTGAGATACTTCTGGTTTATGTTGATGAGAGACACCAAAGGTGAGATACTTCTGGAGTATGTTGATGAGAGACACCAAAGGTGAGATACTTCTGGAGTATGTTGATGAGAGACACCAAAGGTGAGATACTTCTGGAGTATGTTGATGAGAGACACCAAAGGTGAGATACATTCTGGTGTATGTTGATGAGAGACACTAAAGGTGAGATACTTCTGGTTTATGTTGATGAGAGACACTAAAGGAGAGATACCATCTGGTGTATGTTGATGAGAGACACTAAAGGAGAGATACCATCTGGTGTATGTTGATGAGAAAGGTTAAAGGAGAGGCTAAAGGTGTTGGACTGGATTGATATCACAATACAGAATTAGTCAAGCTTGCACACAATATAGCTGAATGGGAGAATCGACTGTGAACCTTCTGTGACACATGAATGGCACAAGAACATGATGTTAATGTCTGTGTGTTGTAACTTACCATTCCCCGTATGGGTTCCCGGGTCCCATGGAGGAGGTGGGGTTGGGGTATATCCACTGCCACCTCCCTAACAAGTATGAAGTACAGAGCGACTAATTAGGAGAGTTTCCTTTGAAGTCAGAGTGCATCTGCCTGCAACGAACCAACAGCCTGCATACAAATAAGCCAGATGTGTACAATTGATATGCACTCAAAACTCAAATTATGGAAGGATATCAAAATCCAGAGATGGAGGAAAAACCAGAACTTTCTACCGGAGTTTAAAGTTGTTTGACACTAACAAGAAGAAGAAAACTCAGCTAGCTGACTGTCAGAACATCACTACACATTGGGCGTTCCCAATACTCATTTGTCTGGCTGCGTTTGTTCACAGAATCAGAGAAGAGGAAGAAAGAAAGCGATCAACTGAAAGGTGAAGTTGTCCATTGGAAAAACCAGCTTGCCACGGCAGTGGCTCATGTGCAAAAGGAGAAGGCGGTCTGTAATGTCAGAGTGCAGTGTTTCCCAAAACTGTTCTTGTTCGCGGCGCCTTTTAATAAAAATTGTTCCACGGCGCCCTAACCTTAGTAAAAGTATGACTATTGGAGTCTTGGTTAAATTAATAATGAAGCTTTTACAAAATTTCGCGGCGCCCCTGTGAAGAGGTTGCGTCTCCGCGGCGCACAGTTTGGGAATCACTGTCATAATATGTACATAAACTGTTTGTTTTTTGTAATAGTAGTCTTCTTCGCGTTCATTGGCTGTGAACACCGACGGAGAGTTGTGGTTGTTTGTCCACCTCTGAACTTTAGTTTTGTTCCAGAACATGAGTGTTGCGTGCACCTCCGTTCAACAGATCTGACTTAATCGTATGCAGCTTGTTTCTTTCTTGCCTCTCAGGTAGATGTGCTCTGACTTCGAGGAAAACCCCAATTAGTCGACTCTTACGACACGCTGGTTGGGGAGGTTTGTTTAACCCACAATGGGGTCCCGAACCCACACTGGGAAGTGGTAGTAGTAATTTAAACAATAATATCCTGTTCAATCCATCAGGGTTTTAATTGAGATATACAGAGTAAGTAAAAAAAAAAGTAAAGGACCCTTTTCCACACCTCAAGGCGTATAGGGCATATAGGGCTAGACCTATATTTGTATAGACCATCGGCACAAGATGGGTGATGTGGTCAGCATCACGCCGGCCGCCTTTACATTCCGGGACTGCACCCGGTACCCACTCAAGGCTAGGTCAACCTGGGAGCCAAGATCATTTTTGAAAAAGTCCGGCTCTGCCAGGGGGCGAACCCAGGACCTTTTGACCTGCGGCGAGCGTCTAGTTACTCCGCCACGGCGACTCCCGATATGCTAAGTATTCTATTTTAATAATGGATATTTCTGTCTATCAGTTAGATTTGGTAATGAAATATCGCATAGCTTACGTGTTAGTTGTATAAGATTGTAGCAGTATAAATTGTAACATTCGATATATTTAAATGTATTTCCAAACATTTATAGTAATTATACTGTGTAGTCTATTTTTGCTGATATTTACAGTAATCTGGGTACCATTATTGTTTTAAAATATATTACCCTCTCATATGCTAGCACCTGTTCGTGTGATGCACTATGCTAACCCCTGTTCACGTGGTGCGCTATGCTAATCCCTGACGACGTGATGCACTGTGCTACTCTTGTTCGGGTGGTGATGTGCTATGCTTACCCCTGTTCACGTGATGCACTATGCTAACTCTTGTTCGTGTGATGCACTATGCTAACACCGGTCCACGTGATGTACTGTGCTAACCCCTGTTCGTGTGATGCACTATGCTAACCCCTGTTCGTGTGATGCACTATGCTAACCCCTGTTCACGTGATGCACTATGCTAACTCTTGTTCGTGTGATGCACTATGCTAACACCGGTCCACGTGATGCACTGTGCTAATCCCTGTTCACGTGGTGCGCTATGCTAATCCCTGACGACGTGATGCACTGTGCTACTCTTGTTCGGGTGGTGATGTGCTATGCTTACCCCTGTTCACGTGATGCACTATGCTAACTCTTGTTCGTGTGATGCACTATGCTAACACCGGTCCACGTGATGTACTGTGCTAACCCCTGTTCGTGTGATGCACTATGCTAACCCCTGTTCGTGTGATGCACTATGCTAACCCCTGTTCACGTGATGCACTATGCTAACTCTTGTTCGTGTGATGCACTATGCTAACACCGGTCCACGTGATGCACTGTGCTAATCCCTGTTCATGTGATGCACTATGCTAACCCCTGTTCGAGTGATGCGCTATGCTAACCCCTGTTTCTGTGGTGATACACTATGCTAACCTTTGTTCGGGTGGAGATGTACTATCCTTACCCCTGTTAGCGTCTTGGTAGTAAAAGAGTTAGGCCGCCGTGGCAATTGATGACGCAGCCGCCGTGGTGTAGTAGCTAGACGCTGCCCTGCGGATCTGAAGTTCGTAGGTTCAGGTCCTCATAGATCCGGCCTTTTTTTTCAGAAATATCCTGGCTCTTAGGTCGACTCAGCCTTAAATGATTAACAGATACAGTCCTGGGAAGTAATGGCGGCCGTCGTGATGCTGACCACCAAACACACCAAGTACGAGTTTGTCGGTACGATATAGGTCTAGCCCTGTATGCCCAGTACGGCTCAAGGGGTGGAGAATGTACTTCAAGGAACATTGGGGGATGGGAAAAAAAAGGGGGGGGGGGTCAAAGAAGAGGAGGGCAAAGAATAATCTGGAATAACAACATCAAGAAATGGACATGACTAAGCTTCATACACTTTTTTATCAAGCAGAAGACAGCGAAAGACGGCGGGTTTTATGTGCTAGTGCTTCAATCAATAAACCTTCACGACCCCAATGGGTCAAGGGTTATGTTATGTTATGTGAAGAAGGGACATTTTTTTTTTTTTTTACCTTACCCCTAGTAAAACTAAATTATTTTGGTTCATAGGTACAGCTGGAGTTACAAGTGAGCATCAAAGACCTGACCGATCAACTGTCCCAGCAGTCGGAGTTCAGCTTCTCCTTGGGGTCTGTCTGTTGCACTCTCCTGTGGAGGCTTTCTAGACAAGAGGACTGTGTCCAGATACTAGTCTCTGGGGTCAGTAGCTCTTCACCGTCTTCATCATCATCATCACCATCATCAAGTGCCTTGTAAATTGGGGTGATAATAGAGAAATTAGGACATGTTGTTTTGTTTCTTTAAAAATAAACTTTCTGTGCCACATCATAACATATCTACCAATCTCAAGTCAGTCAATATGTACCCTATATGTCTCCAGTCTGTGAAGGTGTATCCAATGTGTCTCTAGTCTGTCAGTGTGTATCCTATGTGCCTATAGTCAGTCCACGAGTATTCTTTATGTCTCTAGTTAGTTGTCATATATGTATCCAGTTATTCAGTGTGTATCCTATACGTCTCTAGTCTGTCAGTGTGTATCCTATATGTCTCTAGTCTGTCAGTGTGTATCCTATATGTCTCTAGTCTGTCAGTGTGTATCCTATATATCTATAGTTAGTCAGTGTGTATCCTCCCCGTGTGGGTTCCGGGGTCCTATTATAGGGAAAACTAGAATATACCCACTGCCTACCCAAAAGCATGTCGTAAGAGTCGACTAATTGGGAGCTTCCTTCGAAGTCGGAGTGCAATTGCCTAAGAGGCAAGGAACCAGCAGTCTGCACACAAATGAGTCAGATCTGTCAAACGGATGCACACGCAAAACTCAGGTTCTGGAACAGCACTGCAGTCCAGAAGTGGACGAACAACCAGAACTTTCCGCCGGAGTTTACAGCTGGGGAACGCAAAGAAGAAGAGGAAGTGTGTATCCTATATGTCTCTAGTTAGTCAGTGTGTATCCTATTTGTCTCTAGTCTGTCAATGTGGATCCTATATGTCTCTAGTTAGTCAGTGTGTAGCCTATATGTCTCTAGTAAGTCAGTGTGTTTCCTATATGTCTCTAGTTTGTCTGTGTGTATCCTTTATGTCTCCAGTCTGTTAGTGTGTATCATATATGACTCTAATCAGTAAGTGGGTATCCTATGTGTCTCCAGTTTGGCAGTGTATATCAAATATGTCTCGAGTCAGTCAGTGTGTATCCTATATGTCTCCATTCAGTCAGTGTCTATCATATGTGTCTCTAGTCTGTCAGTGTGTATCCTATATGTCACCAGTCTATCAGTGTATATCTTATATGTCTCCAGTCTGTCAGTGTGTATCCTATGTCTCCAGTCAGTATGTATCATATATGTCTCTAGTCAGTTCATGTGTATCCTATGTCTCTCCAGTCTGTCAGTGTGTCCTATATGTCTGCAGTCAGTCAGTGGGTGGCCTGTCCACCCAACAAATACTAACTGTAACATATCCCTAAATCTGCCTGCTTGTATCAATACTGACTTCCACAGAGCAAGAGTGCCGAGTTCCTAGCCTTAGTGTCCAGCTCAGTGGACAGTTATCTCAACACATACATGGATGACCAGTGGCCAGATCAAAGCTCGGACGAGGCGGCTTTCATCCTGGCTCTCTGTGGGACAGTCACTAGTCAGTATTTGTATTTTCATAGTGACCTATTTCTTCTTCTTCTTCTCCTCCTTCTTTTTCTTCTTCTTCTTCTTCTTCTTCCCGTTCATCAGTCCTTCTCCAAAAGCTGAGTGTTGCATGTGCATCCGTTTTACAGATCTGACTCATGTTTATGCAGACTGCTGGTTCCTTACCTCTCAGGCAGATGCACTCTGACTTTAAAGAAAGCTCCCAATTAGTCAACTCTTATGACATGCTTTTGGGTAGCCAGTTAATCTGTTCTTGTTTTCCCTATAACAGGGCTTCAGACCCCACACAGAGAGTGACATATTTGACAAATTTGTTAAGAGACTCTTAGTTTATCGATTCCTAAACAACATGTTGTTAAAGGCAAGTATTAAGTAAGTGTCCTTCGAAGTCAGAGTGCATCTGCATGACAACATGATATACTACTTCATGAGAGGCGAGAAACCATCCAAATATGCATACAAATAAGCCATATCTGTAAAGTGTGTGTTCTGCAACAAGAAAAAAGTCCAGAAGTGGACGAATAACTAGAACTCTCTGCTAGTTTCACAGACTCTTATCACTTTATAGTCTTATTGACAGACTCTTATTACTTGATAGTCTTATTGACAGACTCTTATCACTTGATAGTCTTATTGACAGACTCTTATCACTTGATAGTCTTCTTGACAGACTTTTATCACTTTATAGTCTTATTGAAAGACTTTTATCACTTGATAGTCTTATTGACAGACTCTTATCACTTGATAGTCTTCTTGACAGACTCTTATCACTTTATAGTCTTATTGAAAGACTTTTATCACTTGATAGTCTTATTGACAGACTCTTATCACTTGATAGTCTTACTGAAAGACTTTTATCATTTGATAGTCTTAGCTCTTGCAGGTATGTGACAGACACTTAAATCTTGATAGTTTTTATTGACCAACTGTTAACTGTTGATAGTCCGTACTGACATAAATCTTTTCTCTAAATGCTATCAGAAATAGTGAGATACTTCTGTCAAACTGATACAAAGAATGACTAAAAAACAAAAGAGCAAGTAAAATGTTTGGTGTAAGGATATACTCACAATCAACGATCAGTTGTCAACATATAGTATACAAAACTCATTCACAGACTTCAGTGGGCAGGAATAAGCTGCACAGAGTCTTCATCTGATGCAATGTTGACTTTGCCTTGAACTGGGGGTGGGGGGGGGGGGGGCAACCATGTTGTAGAGGATAGACGCTAGCCTGCGGATTGGAAGGTCGTGGGTTCAGGTACCGATGGAGCCAGACTTTTTTCAAAACAGACCCTGGCTCCCAGGTCGACCCAGCCTTGAGTGGGTACTAGGTACAGTCCTGGAAAGTAAAGTCAGATGGCATGATACTAACTACATCACCCATCAGGTGCCAATTGGTCTATAAAATATAGGTCTAGCCTGATATGCCTCCAGGCTTGGAAAAGGGTCTGTTACTTTTTAAAACTTTATGTTGATACAGTTGACCACTTATGTGTTATCAGGGCCCTCACAGGAAGCAAAGAATAGTAACACTGTACCCTACCAGGCATGTCGTAAGAGGCGACTAAGGGTAGGGTTGGGCTTGGGGGTTGGCTACCTCATCTTGTAAAAACTAGCCACAGAATCCAACCATCTCTGAACAAGTATTTAAAAACAGTTACGCAGAATACTCAGCCAACTGAGATGGCTGGAGGCTCTTCTTAGGGAAGATTTAATGAACTAGAGCAGCGGTTCTCAACCTTTATAATGCCGCGACCCTTTAATACAGTTCCTCATGTTGTGGCGACCTTTAATACAGTTCCTCATGTTGTGGCGACCTTGTAATACAGTTCCTCGTGTTGTCGCGACCTCTCAAACATACAATTATTGTTGTTGCTACTGCATAACTTCAGTGAATATGTGTTAACCGATAGTCTTAAGTGACCCATGTGAGAGGGTTATTGGACCCACACAAGGGTCGTGACCCATACGTTGAGAAACGCTGAACTAGAGTGTGAAGTTTAAAAAAATGGTGAGGACAAGGCGTGAGCTGCATGTGATAGCAAAGGATAAGTTGACTTGATGTGAGCTGGTTGAGGGCCTATGCTCCGTTGGGGGACAAGGGACAGAAGAAGAATCAGTTACCATATTTTGTTCCTTGACATTTCAATGCTGATTTGATCTCCACCCCTCAGATATCGCGGCCTCGGCTCTAGGCAGGGAGCATCTGGCATCCAGTCTCCAGGGCCAGGCTGTAGTGGATACATTTATAGCCTTCATCAAGAAAGCTCCCTTGGGGAACAGTGCCAACATGAAGAGGTATGCTGGCTGGCTTTAGCAAATGTTCTCACTAGAGCAGGGGTTTTCAACCCAGGGGCGTCTGGCACTTATGAAATTCAAACATGTCCTAGTAGTCAATTAACTGAGGACATTCTTTACAGTCGGAGTACATCTGTCTGAGAGGCAAGGAACCAACTGTTTGCACATACATTAGCCGGATCTGTGAAATGGATGTGCACGCAACACTCAGGTTCTGGAACAAGACTCAAGTCCGGAGGTAAGCAACACCCAGAACCGAAGCAAAGCGTGAGCACTAGAGTTGACATCCGATGAACATGAAGAAGAAGAAAAATATATTTTTCAACTTTAAATAATAAAAGAAAAAGCCAATAACATTATTTTAAATAATTATTTGACACTTTGATTTAGGCGGTTTTCTTCTTCTCTTTAACCGGTTGTAAACTCCACTGGAAAGTTTTGTTCGTTTGTCACTTCTCGACTCTAGTCCTCTTCCGGACCCTGAGTGTTGCGTAATATCCGTTTTACAGATCTGACCCGTGTGTGTGCAGACTGTTGGTTCCTTGCCTCTCAGACAAATGCATTCCGACTTTGAAGAAAGTTAACAATTAGTCGACCCTCATGACTTGCTTGTTGGAGAGGCAGCGGGTCTATTCTCATTTTCCTCACAATGGGACCCTGAACCCGCATGGGTGATTTGAGTGCCCCAAGGAGAAAAAAAACATTGAAACAGTAAGGGGAGAGACTGAACACCCCCACTATCACCCAATGTAAAGGAGCTGTTTTGCTCCCTTTAACCATATACAGAAATGATATTTTAAAGTGTTTCTTCATACATTCATATTATTTCAACTATATTATTATATTTATTTATGGGAAAACAAGTCTACTGGACGTCAAAACCAAATGAGGAATTGGCTTCTGGAATGCGAGAACCATGTCTGAAACGGTCAAAACCACCCAAATAATTAAAAAGAGGCGCTCAAAAACTACATGGAGACAAACAAGAGAGTGTGACCTAAAGCGGCATCTCTGACATGGAAAACTACACCGAAGATTGCACAAGACCGGAAAGCTTGGGGAATCCTCTCTGAAGCCTCATGCGCCACTAGGCATAAAGAGAATTGATGGTGATATAACACTGATATTGTAATTATTATGCTGAATGCAAGTACATATAATTATAGACTCTGTGATTATCTCCCACAGTCTGATGCTAATGTTTCTGTACAACATCAGTATCAACCAGAAAGGTGTGAAGTATCTGTGCTCCAAGCCTGGGCTGATCCCCATCATGTGCTGGCATATTAAAGGTAGTACATCTATTGCTTTGACATCTGTCTACTGTAGAAGGTAAAATAGTCTAAATATTATAGGGTGTTTGTAAAGTCTCACCACAATTTATCTGTAGAATAAATTTGAAAAATGTTTCAATCATGAAGCAGTATACAGTAAATGGCTGTCATCTGCTGGAGCAATTCTTTCCACTCTAAACAGAATGATGTTAACAATAGAAAAAAAGAATGTTGTTGGCTGAACTGGAGAACACCTATAATTAATCACCTCTGAGGACGATATGCTTGAGAGGCAGTGGATATATCCACACCCCCCTCCTTTTTTTTTTTTTTTTTGGTACACACAGGGAGGCCATGTTTCAGCACAGTAAATGCAAATTGTCTTTGACTAGGTCTAGACTGGTTTCTTTCATATCTGGGTAAAAATTAAGCATCACAGCATTCAGAACAAACCCATATTAGGTCTACCCCCCCCCCCCTTCCTTTTGCCCATGAACTAGAAAAGAGTCTCTATACTGATGATACATGTAGTTATCTGGTTAACTACTCGTCTTGTCTCCCTTATCTTCCAAGTCTCCAGTGGCACACTCAGCCTGCAGACACTCCCTGCTGCATCATTCTCTCTAGGTTCGGGTTTTCAGTATTTTTCAGCTTTACATTATCTAACAGGTGAGAGCTCCCTTCTGTCTCATTTAGTTGCAGTATAACACCTCTTACAGCCAGGCCAGCCCAGCCAATATATCTACATGCTCATTCACCATATACCTGCATAAAAGTAAAGTAAACTTCCCTTTTCACGCCTTTCGGCGCATAGGGCATATTGGCAGAGCGTCCCATATTTTTACAGACCATCAGCACTCTGTGGGTAATGTGGTCAGCATTATGCCGGCTGTCTTTACTTTCCCAGGACAGCCCATCCTGGTACCCATTTTAGGCTGGGTCGACCTGCGACGTCCCCATACCACGACACAAATCCACGAAGCCTGCAGTGGGTTTCGATCGCGGTATGCTGGCTTACGAGTCGGACTCGCAACGCCTTAGCCACGGACGCCGCATATCTGCATAGTCCAGGCGAAATATTTATGTTAATTTTCCTGTCACCTCTGGACTGATATGACCCATACCATACGAAGAAAACCTAATTCCTAGCATGCTTTGCCAATCAAATACTATGGCAACATGTGGGTGACATTTTCTCTGCCCATTAGAACACTTCAGTTACAGCCGCAGCTTCTATACCTCCAAAGGTTTTTAGGAATTTCATTACCTACAGACCCCAACTGAATGCCCTCGGGAGACAGACTGGCACATAACAGTATATATATTTAGCTGTGTATCCTCTACAGGACGTTGCAGAACCAACCTCAGCATTTTTTTACTGTTATGGTTTTTATAGACAAATTTAACCTTCAGTAGTCTGCCATATCTTTCTGAATTTGCAGCTCTCAGTACAACCACCCACAGTACAGTAGAGGGATCTTTTCACACCAGCCGCACATGGGGCAGGCATATCTTAGACTCATATTTCTATAGACCAAAAAACTGTCGATATGGGATGTGGTCAGCATTTTGTGGGTTGATTTTACTTCCCAGGACATTACCCAGTACCCAGTTTAGGCTGGGCCGACCTGGAAGCAAATGTCAGTTTTGGAGAGGAGGAAAAAAAAAAACTGCATCATACCAGTAGGTGAGACTCTGCAATACAGCTTTGCCACTGACACATAAACTATAATGAAAATATTCCTCCAATGATATTTATTATTAATGATCTTTAGTGATGACTGGAAAGATAATGAGTAAAAAAGGCAGCGCAAACTAAGAGAAATGACTGAGGATGGCTTGAGACAGTCTTCTTCTTCTGCCTTTCTAGTCACCAATGGAGCATAGACCCTCAACCAACTGACGCCAGGTGGTTCTATCCTTTGCTATCGCATGCAGCTTTCCCCTATGTCCACCACATCTTTTTAACTTCATTCTCCAGCTCCTTTCTCCATGTGTTTTCTGGCCTTCATTCCTGTGCCCCTGTAGGTTCCAATGCAAAGACATTTTAGTTATATTGTTCTCCTTTTTTTCTCAATCTGTGTCCTATCCAGGGCCCTTTCTTCACCTCTTGGTCCACTGGAGCTTGCTTGGTTCTCTCCCAAAGCTTGAGGCAGTGGCATGGAGGAATATCATCAGTGGAAGTTATCTAGAACACCAAAGACTGAGATCTGTGGAGATGCATGAACTCCTATGCCAACTGGCAAGGCACTTGATAATGATGACGATGATTACTCATCTCTCATATGTATATATTTATGTATATATATATATATATATATATATATATGTGTACAAACACAGAAGAGAGTGACACAGAGTGCCGGGTCAACACACTTCGTGTTCTACATTCCCTTACCTCTGACGAAGTGAGTGTTCGCATCATGCACGAGCTGAAAGAGAATGTAAGTTGCTGTTTCTGTGATGTCTCTTTACATATTATCGGTTATGTCGTAATTTACATCATCCTCTGTTGTTCCCCCCCCCCTCCCTTAACAGCTTTGGGATTTTTAGGGTATAGGTTCAGGCCAGCTACATCAGACAGGTACCTTACCTGTGGGTTCTAGAACACACCGGGTGGGGTGGGGTAGGAAATAGTCCCGCTGCCCTTCATCATGTAATTCAATTACCCTAATTTTGCTAAAATCAGATATGTTGGCTCGAAGGTAGATATTGCATCCTAGCTGTTAACCACAACATGCTCTTTTAACAGCAAATTGAGAAGATGACAAAGAAGTTCAATATCTAAAGTTCATCAGGAGAGATTATGTTTTTCAGTTCCGAGCAAGAGGGTTGTGGCCAGACAAGAGTGATATGCAGAAAGCAAAAAAAAAAAAAAGAATAAGAAACTAACACAAAACTGGTGTTGTGAACCGCTACACTATGCTGGATTTTCTAAAGAGGGGATCCGAGCACTTATGGACACAATGGTTCAATGTACAATAAGGATAGTCTGTCGACTAACTAACATATATAAACAATCATATGAAATTGAGAGGTCAAATAATCCATTAATATTATTTCCTATGGGGAAAAATGGCTTGAGTTACCCAACAACCTGTTTGCTGAACAACTTTCCAGAACCAGTTGCATTTGAGAACCTCATTCATTCATTCAGTAGCATGTCCCTCGCTGCCATAACAACCCTCCGGAAAACCTTCCTATCCTGAGCAAGATGTCCTGCGTCTGATACACCCATCTGGAGATCATCTGCCACATCCTGCACCCATCTTTTCCTTGGCCTTCCTCTTCCTCTCTTCCCAGGCATATACCCCTCCATTATTGTTCTCTCTAGACTTCCATGACGTTTCAAGTGACCAAAATATTTCAATTTTCTTTGTTTTATTGTCTTTACTAGCCAACCCTCTTCAATATTCAGCTCTTGAAGTATGGATGCATTTGTTCTTTTCTTTACCCAAGCTATTCTTAGAACCTGTCTGTAACATTTATATTCAAATGCATTTATGCGCTGTTTTTGAGAACCTAGGTCTACTGTATTACACTATTATACTGGATCTACTTCTCTTGAAAGTAAGTGGTCGCCCTAGGAAAATATGAACTGAAGACATTAAAGAGCTTCTACCTCGACACAGAATGACAGTAGCCTATGCTGCCCATCAATGGATTGCAAACTGGTCCTCCCCACAAAGCTTAACGGCAGAAGTGGAAATTGATGATGACTTCTGCATCTACTTGAGCATTCACAGCCCTCAAGTTCATGACTGCAGATATCCCTGGCCTTCATCATCGTTACGACACTAGATTAGGTACTAGGTGTAGACAGACAGGCAGATAGACAAGTCATTTAAATGACAGACAGGTCAAAAGGCAGATGGTTGGCTAGCTAGGCTGGTAGGTTTGGATGGGAGGGAGGGAGACGGTAGACTGCACTACTAATTCCTCTTCTATGTCTGCGATCTCCCAATAAGTGCCCTTGTAATCACATGACGGTTGTTCTGCCTGTGTTCAGCTATCACTGTGCCAGCTGCAACAACTAACGACAAGTCCCATCAAGGATATCCAGGATCTCTCACTGGACATCATCATGGATCTAAGACAGCTGGACAGTGAGCAGTGAATCAGCTAACAGTGTTGATCATGTTCTTGTTTACTGTTCTCGTTGACATTTTTACAGGATTGTCCCACTATTACAATGCTTGAATTAAGACTTTTAAGCAGTTGTAAAAGTCAACTGATCAGGGGTGGTGTTTCATTAAAAGTCAGAGTCCATTTGCCTGAGAGGGGAGGGAAGGGACCAAAAGTCTACATATCAACAACAACAAAACAAACAAAAATGGATGTGTACACGTAAAACTCAAGTTCTGGAACAAATCAAGTCTAGGCGTGGATGAGTGACTAGAACTTTTCGTCAAAATTTGCAGCCAGTGAACGATAAGAAGAAGACTCTTACATTCCATCGTAGGAATGTTCGAGAATTGTGTGTATAGATCCATCTGTCTGTCCATTTCTATCTATTGCAGTGGCTCTCAACCTTCCTAAAGCCATGACTCTAAAACAGTTCCTCATGTTGTGGCAACCCCCAACCATAACATTATTTTTGTTGCTACTTCATTGAATAAGTTTCCCGATGGTCTTAGGTGACCCCTTTGAAAGGGCTATTTGACCACCCAGAAAAGGTCATTCAACCCACAGGTTGAGAACCGCTGACCTATATGGGGAAGTCGGAATTTAGGGAAATTATCTTCAAAATAAAGAAACTTATTACAGAAATAGCCAGCATGTCTTCACTATGTCCAGCCCTGCCATTCCACATCTTTGGTATTTGGGAAATGAACAAGCAGACGATTGGCTGAGAGGAGAGAGAGAGAAAGAGAAAGAGAGAGAGAGAAAGAGAGAGAGAGAAAGAGAGAGAGGGGCAGGCCTCCCAAGGGGAGCATGTGGAAGTTTCAAGGGGGCGTCAAGCGGTTTTGACTGTGAGTACCTGTGCACTTGCGGCGTCTGTGGCTAAGGCGTTGCGAGTCCGACTCGTAATCCAACGTACCGCGATCGAAACCTACTGCGGGCTGCATGTATTTTTATCGTGGTATGGGACGTCGCAGGTCGACACAGCCTCAAATGGGTACCAGGATGGCTGTCCTGGGGAAGTAAAGACGGCCAGCGTTATGCTGACCACATTACCCACCGAGTGCCGATTGGTCTGTAAAAATATGGGTGCTCTTCCCATATGCCCGATGTGCCTAAAGAGATCTTTACTTTTACTTACCTGTGTACTTGTAATAATCTGTCATGAAAACAAAATAACAATTCCCAGCTTGATGAGGAGAGTGCCTGCTGTGCTCTGTCCAGCATAAGACATCATCGAGACAAAACAGTGTCAACCATCACACTGATATTTGGACACTAAAATACCAGTTGTTGATGATTATTTGACACTTTTTCACTGATGTAGATGTTCTTCCCAACAGTACTTGGGATTTCTCTTTTTATTCACATTTTGTTACATGGGGGGGGGGGGGGGGGAAGGAGGAGGAGAGATGAGAGAATGCGCCACCTTAAAAAAATTAATGTACCATTAGGCTAGATGTACTTACTCATGGCCTCTTGGAAGCAAAAATGCAGAAGAACGAATAGATAGACCATTACTGTGTGCAGAGAACTGTGGTGCAGCGAGTGTAGGCGGACACACTACAGGCAGAGAACACGCAAGATGGACACATAAACAGCTACTGGCACGGCCACCATGACAACACTTAGCTGGCTGCTGAACATGATGGACTGCTCAGAGTGCTCCGATGTCAGTTCTTGATGTAACATGGGTTGAACCAGATACAGCTGATTGAGAGGCATGCCTGTTGACCTGTTGTTGTGTTGAGATATTATCAGCAACTACTTTCCAGTACAGTTTTAATGTGGACAATTGCCTATATGGTTTCTCATGTAATACAACATACTGCACTTATTTTGCAGTGAGAAGCTTCATATGCAAATAAACTCAGATTGGTTGTTTGTTTTTAAATTATTTGTTTAGTCTGACTTGTCTAAATTAGTTTTTGTAATGTGTGCAGCATTTTGCATATGGTGCTGTAGTTTGTTGTCATCTTTCTTGTTGTTGGGCTGTACAGTACAATCCTGGGTTATCAGTGATAGTTTTAGTTCCTGCATATACAATCCTTCATCTCCTCTTGCCTATTCTCTTTCATTACATCTTAGCAATTTCATAAAATGATATCTCCTCCACTTTATTACTCTTTCTTTTTATTTTCTATAAAACTCATTTTCACCTTCTTGTTTCTAGTTCCACTTTTTTCCCTGATGTGGTTAATCATTAGCTGCTTGTACAGTTATAAAGTTTTCTTTGGTGTTTTTTTTTTTAAACTAGTTATTTTTATCTCGGCCTTTCTAATTCAACTGAACCTCATCTTCATTCACTGTGCATCAAATTTCTATTTGCCTTGTTTCCAAATGGCATCATCACAAGGTTCTGTAGTTGGAATCAAATAATTGTGTATTTTCCTCTCTAATGATATCCTATGTAACCACACCAGACAGTTGAGAAATGTCCTTGTGCATTTATTACGCTAGCTATTCATGCCGAAAACCTCTGGGTTGATAAACAAACAGCCTACCATTCACCCACCACTGCCTGAAGATCTATTCATTCGTAAAGTCTTGTGTTTCACTGTAAGTACACAAGGATATCATCTGAAACATCACAGTTCTTCCAACAAGCATCACTTCTATCCTACCTGTGTCAGCACTGAAAAGCATCAGTGACATGGAGGAACCTTGTGGGAGCACCAACACAACAGAACAAGCTACAGGGCTTCAAGAACATTTATGGAAGGCAATATATTTAAAACACAATTTTTGTTCTTTCAATATGTCCACAGCAACAGATGTTTCCCAACTTAAAAATATTTATTTGCAGAACATAAAACAATAACAACATATCAAACACTTGGCAAAAAAAGTTAATATAAAAATAAATTAACACTAGAACAAGATATAGCAATAATTTGTGCAGTTATCCTTCCTAACGGTCACCGGCTGTAAACTCCAGCAGAAAGTTCTGGTTGTTTGTCCACTTCTAGACTTTGGCACTGTCCTAGAACTTGAGTTTTGCATGCACATCCGTTTTACAGATCCTGCTTGCTTGTATGCAGACCATTGGTTCCTCACACCTGGAGTAAATACACTCGGACTTCCAAGGAAACATTCCTAATTAGTTGTCTTTCAGGATATGCGTATAAGGAGGCAGTGGGTCTCTTGCCACGGAACCCAGGTGCAGGTATCCAGTTTAAGACACTGATACAGGACACAACATACTAAAGCAGGTGCTGGAGCTTTCCCACACTTTAGATGTACTGGGTAAATGATGCCAGCTCCATGTTTTTGTTTTTTTAAAGACCTTTAAACACTCTAGTCATCAATATCATCCTCCCCT